TGTGTTGGGGAGTTTTCCTTCCATTTCTATTTTTTGGAACAGCTTGAGAAAAATAGGTATTAACTCTTTTTTAAATTATATTTTCATGATTGGTTTACACCAATTCTTTTTTTTTTTTTAAGATTATTTATTTATTTATTTGACAGAGAGAGATCACAAGTAGATGGAGAGGCAGGCAGAGAGAGAGAGGGAAGCAGGCTCCCTGCTGAGCAGAGAGCCCGATGCGGGACTCGATCCCAGGACTCTGAGATCATGACCTGAGCCGAAGGCAGCAGCTTAACCCACTGAGCCACCCAGGCGCCCTATTAACTCTTTTTTAAATGTTTGGTAGACTTCTCCTGGGAAGGAATCAGGCCCTGGACTTTTGTTTGTTAAGAGATTTTTGATTACTGATTTTGTTTCTTTGCTGGTTGTGGGTCTCTTCAGGTTTTCTATTCCTGTTTCTGTTTTGGTAATTTTTATATTTCTAGGAATTTATGCATTTCTTCCAGATTGCCTTGTTCGTTGGCATATGATTTTTAATAATGTTCTCTTATAATCACTTGTATTTCTGTTGGTTGTGTTGGTTGTGATCTCTCCTTTTTCATTTGTGATTTTATTGATTTGGGTCCATTCTCTTCTTTTTGGTAAGTCTGGGTAGGGGGTTTTAAATTTTATTAATTCTTTCAAAGAACCAGTGCTTAGTCTGATTCATCTGATCTCCTGGGGGGGTTTTTTGTCTTTAATTTATTTCTGCTCTAATCTTCATTATTTCCCTTCTTCTGCTGACTTTAGGCTTTCTTTCCTGTTACTTTTCTAGATCCTTTAGGTAAAAGGTTAGGTTGTGTATTTGAGAGTTTTGTTTCTTGAGGTAGGCCTGTATTGTTCTGTACTTTCCTTAAGACCATTTTTGCTTCATCCCAAAGATTTTGGACTATTGTGTTTTCACTTTCATTTGCTTTCATGTTTTTTTTTTTTATTTCTTCTTTAATTTTCTGGTTAACCCATTTACTCTTTAGTAGGATACTCTTTAACCTCCATGTATTTATGTTCTTTGCAAATTTTTTCTTGTGGTTGACTTCAAGTTTCATAGTGTTGTGGTCAGAAAATATATATGGTATGATCACAGTTGTTTTATACTTGTTGAGGCCTGTTTTGTGACCCAGTATGTGATCTTTTCTGGAGAATGTTCCATGTGCACTGGAAAAAAATGTGTATTCTGCTGCGTTAGGATGAAGTGTTCTGAATGTATGTGTTAAGTCCATCTGGTCCAGTGTGTCATTCAAAGCCATTGTTTCCTTGTTGATTTTCTGCTTAGATGATCTCTCCATTGCTGTAAGTTATTGTATTTTTATCAATAAACTTCTTTATGTTTGTTATTAATTGATTTGTATATTTGGGTAGTCTCAAGTTGGGAGCATAAATATTTACACTTGTTAGATTTTCTTGTTGAGTAGACCCCTTTATTATGATATAATGCCCTTCTTCATATCTTATTACAGTCTTTGGTTTAAAATCTAGCTTGTGGGTTCCTGGGTGGCTCAGTCAGTTGAGCATCTGCCTTCAGCTTGGATCATGACCCCAAGATCCTGGGATCGAACCCACATCAGACTCTGTGATCAGAGGCTAGCCTGCTTCTCCCTCTCCCTCTGCCTGCCACTCTGACTATTTGTGATCTCTCTCTTCCTATCAAATAAATAAAATCTTAAAGTTTTTTTAAAAATCTGGTTTCCCTGAAAAAAGTATGGCTACTCCAGCTTTCTCTTGATGTCCATTAGCATGATAAATGGTTCTCTGTCTCCTCACTTTCAATCTGCAAGTGTCTTTACTAACTTGTTTTTTTAATCCATTTAAATATATTCTATATTTTAAGGCAGTTTTAGGTTCATGGCAAAATTGTATAGAAAGTACAGAGTTTCAGGGTGTCTAGCTGGCTCAGTCCATGGAGCATGTGACTCTTAATCTGGGATATGGGTTCAAGCCTCAGATTGGATATAAGATTACTTAAAAATTTTTTTCTTTTTCCCAAAAAGTACAGAATTTCCATTTATCCCCTGTCCCCACACATGAATAGTTTCCCCATTATCAACATTTTGCTCTACACAGTGATACATTCATTACAGTGAATCTACATTAACATATCATTATTTCCCTAGGTCTATAGTTTACATTAAGATTCACTCTTGGTCTTATATATCCATATCCAGTGGTTTTTAACAAATATACAATGATATATCCACCATTATAGTATTATATAGAATAGTTTCACTGTTCTAAAAATTCTCTGTGCTACACTCACTTATCCCTTCCTCTGTTTTTTTTAATTGTCTCCATAGTTTTGCATTTCCAGACTATCATAGTTGGAATTTTTTTTTAATGATTTTTTTAAAAGATTTTATTTATTTATTTGACAAAGAAAGAAAGATCATAAGTAAGCAGGCTTTGGGCGGGGGGGACAGGCTCCCCGCTGAGCAGAGAGCCTGGTTCAGGGCTTGATCCCAGGACCCTGAGATCATGACCAAGCTTAATGCACTGAGCCACTCAGGTGCCCCTCATACAGCCTTTTCTGATTGGCTTCTTACACTTACTAATGTGCATTTCAGGTTCTTCCTATTTTGGGATGAGGTTTTGTTTTGTTTGTTGTTTTTTAAGATTTACTTATTTATTCATTTAATTTAGGGGAGGCAAGGGAAAGGGAAGAGGGAGAGAGAGAATCTCAAGCTGAATCTCCACTGAGCATGGAGCCTGACATAGGGCTTAATCCCACAACCCTGAGATCATGACCTGAGCTGATCATGACCTAACTGACTGAGCACTCCAGGTGCCCCAACTTGTTTTTTATTCATCTGTTTGTATATATGTTATATTTTGTGTCATTCAGATACATTTTAATAGTTTATTTTCATTCATGTATTGACTTTTTAGTTATATCTATTTCCACGCCCAGGTTTTCATTATGTTGAATACTTTAAGAATAGCTGCCTTGGGGCGCCTGGGTGGCTCAGTGGGTTAAGCCTCTGCCTTCGGCTTAGGTCATGGTCTCAGGGTCCTGGGATTGAGCCCCACATCAGGCTCTCTGCTCAGCTGGGAGCCTGCTTCCTCCTCTCTCTCTCTCTGCCTACCTCTCTGCCTACCTGTGATCTGTCAAATAAAAAAATAAAAATCTTAAAAAAAAAAAAAAAAGCTGCCTTGAAGTGTTTTTTTGTTTTGTTTAGTTTTTTTGCAAAATCCAACATAGGGGCCCATTGGGGATTTTAGTTTCTCTGACTGGCTTTTTCTGAACATGGGTCTTATTCCCCTTCCTCTTATTTTGGTTTTTTTGTTTGTTTGTTTGAATGTTTAGTAATTTTTCTAGAAACCTGGATATCATGAATAATACAGTAATCAGATTCTGTTATTTTTTTTTTCCTGAGGATTATTGTTTTTTTTTTTTAGAACAAAATTTTTTAGAACAAAAATTGTTTTTGTTCTAGCAGGCAGCTGATTTGGTTGAAATCGAACTTTAAACTCTGCCTCTACCCCCAAGTGTAAAGCAGCTGATAGATCAGCTCAGTTCTTTAAGCTTCTACGTACTGCTTTGGCTCCTAGGCCCCTAAGGGGAGGGGAGGTAGGTTCTCTTCGTGTTCATGTACCTTAACTCTTATTAAGGAATTGGTATTTATACTTATATTTTAGGTTTTACTTTCTGTAGGTCTCTTTCTTCCAGTGTTTTTTACCCCTCATTTCCTGCTGCTTTGTGAGCTGCAACTTCAAACACCTCCATCCTGTAAGACTTCAGTTTTCTTTTGCTTGAGCTATGAGCAGGTTGTGTAATGCTGTTAATCAAAAATGCAGAAATCTCAGAATCTCACTAGGTACAAGTGTACTTATATTTTTTCACAACTCTTTTCTGGCATCTTTTTGCTAATTCCTCTGTGACTTGCCCAACAATTGCTTAGTTTAACTACCAACCTGGAGTTCTGGTAGTGTTTATACTCTCATTTTGGTTCTCATCATTTCTGTAGTTCTGTCACTTCAAGAATTTATTTCCATGGGTGCTTGGGTGGCTCAGTGGGTTAAGCCTCTGCCTTCCGCTCAGGTCATGATCTCAGGGTCCTGAGATTGAGCCCCGCATTGGGCTCTCTGCTCAGCAGGGAGCCTGCTTCCCCCTCTCTCTCTGCCTGCCTCTCTGCTTACTTGTGATCTCTCTCTCTGTCAAATAAATAAATAAAATCTTAAAAGAAAAAAGAAAAGTTATTTCCAGGGTGACTCAATAGGTCAAGCATCCTTTGATCTCAGCTCAGGTGTTTATCTCACAGTCATAGTAAGTTCAAGCCCTGTGTTGGGCTCAACACTGGGTGTGGAGCCTACTTTAAAAAAGAAAGAAAGGAGGGGAGGGAGGGAGGTTGAAAAAGGAAGGAAGAAAGAATGAATTTATTTCTAAATCTCCCACTTATCTGCCAGCTCCAAATTCTGTCAGATATACATGTTGTGTTAATTATAAGTAATTCTTATCTGAGGGATCATTTTCTTGACCAATTCATTGTATTAGTTTTGGATGCCAGAAGTTGTTCCCATGCATTTTAAAACAGTATTCTTCCCACATAACATAATCTTGACAGGGAAAAATTTTACTTTGAGAGTTGTGCTCCCCTTGTAATATACAGCATCTTGTATATTCTTTTGTTGTAGTACCTGTAGTACCTGTAACACTTTCTAGCATTTATGTTTATACATACTTTCTTAAAGATATGTGTTCCTTGCTTTGAGGCTATGCAGGGACTGTGCCTTATATGTCTTGGCATTCCAGTAAACTAATGAAGTTTTGGGGTACAAAGTGACTTCTATTTTGAGAATTAATTATTAAATAAACTCAGTGACAGGTACGTCTGCCTTCACTTTTGTTTACCTTACTGTGTAAATCACAAAATAAAAATGACTGGCTTTCTTTATATTCATATGAATGCCCCAAAGGAGCAGGATCAAAAGTAGTCCACAATATCTGGTCAGCTTACTCTGATCATAGTTCCAATCCATTGCAGGCATCAGTGTCATTCAAAGATGTGACTGTGGACTTTACTCGGGAGGAGTGGCAGCACCTAGATCCTGCTCAGAAGACTCTGTACATGGATGTGATGTTGGAAAACTATTGCCATCTCATTTCTGTGGGTAAGAAGAACTCTCTTTGAAACTTTCAGTAGCATACATTTCCTTTCAAAGGGCCCGAATTATGCGTTGAATTTCAGGCTTAAGAGGTGATGAATTATTTGTTAACAGAAAGGATAACTGAGTACTTACCCAGAGCAAGATGTTAAGTTTTCTCTTACATGAAGAAGTATCTTAATTTGCAGTACTGAAAATGTACTGTAATAATTTTTCAAGTGCATTAAACCTAAGCAACTTAATCCAAATTTTTCTTTATCAGGGTGTCACATGACCAAACCTGATGTGATCCTTAAGTTGGAACGAGGAGAAGAGCCGTGGACATCATTTACAGCTTCCTGCTTAGGTGAGTTTCTCACTCTTCAGGTGGATGAAATCTAGTGGAGAATAAATAAAAAAGGGTCACATGGTGGGTGGCACCTTTGAAATATTTTGTCTTTTTACAGGCTTCTAACCTTTTAAATGATTATCATGCCTGCAAAACTTAAACTTTCAAATATCACTTTCCCAATATAATATTCTTTCTAGTTTACTTGATGTTATCAAGGATAGTTGCCACTCAGTCAAAATGTACTATAAGCCTTCCTGTAGATCTTTTTTCGAGATTTGTGTCTTTTTCTAGCCTTCTCAGTTCTTTATCTTCTTACCATTGTATATATTTCTTTTAGGCATTCTTAAATCTATTTTTTTTTAAGGTTTTATTTATTTGACAGAGACAACGAGAGAGGGAACAAAAGCAGGGGAAGTGGGAGAGGGAGAAGCAGGCTTCCCACTGAGCCGGGAGCCTGATTTGGGGCTCGATCCCAAGACTCTGGGATCATGACTTGAGCTGAAGGCAGATGCTTAACAATTGAGCCACCCAGGTGCCCCTTAAATCTATTTTTAAAGAACAGAATATTCTTGGCTAATGTCTTTCTTCTCATTGCTTTCCATTTTTTTCTTTTTCCTTTTAGTACCTCAGATTTGTTTTCTGTGCTAAGTCTAATAAGGCCCCCTTCTCACCACAAATATAGCTGTTGGTTTTAAAACTTATTTGCCTTGACCCAGATTGATAATTCCACAGTTATCATTTCTTCCAGTAAACTTCTGTGGTTCATTTTATATGGCTGATCATCATTCCTGAAGTCAGCCCTTAGTGTGGGTAAAACATTAACTTACTCTTATCCTGATTCCCTTAGTGATTATTTCCAACTTGGTCTCTTTTCTTCATTATTAGCCATATTTCCTGGAACAATACCTGGCATATAATTGTCACTGATACATATATTTTTAAATGTATATTTTTTCACAGTACTCTCAGTCTTATTTCTCCAATTTGACCTCAAGGGATCTGCCTTTAAATTATAGTAATCTCATCCATTGTGAGGACTAAAGCTCTTTATGAAGATGTCTTTAACACTGAGATACTAAGCACATTTCTCCCACCCTCACTGTAGTACTTTAGGAGTTCGGCACTCTGATGTTTCACCTCTTTTGTGACAATATGTTGAAATGAAAATCATGAACTTTCCTAGCTTTTAAATTCTTTCTCATTATCTATTTCTAAATTATTTTATTTCTACCATTGATACCAGCTTTTTCTGTCTCTATCATCATCTCTTGTGAATCTCTTCACAATTTGTATTATGTTTATCAGTCTGTGAGATAGATAGACATCTTCCCATATTTTCATTTTTGACTGATGTCATACAAAATGATGTTTTCTTTACTTCATGTAAGAATTTACTTCATGTCTTGACTACAATAATTACATCTTGGCTTTTCTATCTATAATTTTGTCTTAACTCTTTTAATTTATTATTCCCTATTATTATATGAAATTGAAATTCTCATTCAAGGACTACTAAAATAAGCCTTCATTTTGTCTTTTCAACTTTACTTTTCTCCCTTGTGGAAAACTTGATAATTTCCACTTGATCTAGTCTCCTCAGTGTTCTCTACACATCTATGATTTGTCAAGATGTCCTTTTCATTGTGTTCTGTTTTACCTTTCATATACTATCTATCTTTTAAGTCCTGAGATTTTTTTTTCTCCATACACTGTTTCTTAATTACACCACATCCTCTTTTGAATTCCCATGCTACCAACTAACTAAACCACAACTCTTAGATATGGTTATGTAATTTGATAACTGATTATACAGTGGTTTATGTTTAAGGATTCTTTCCTTAAAAGGATAAGATCCTCTGTTCAAATCTTTCTTATTACTCTAGTATAAAACATGTTAAGTATTCAGTAGATACTTCATTAACTGTGGAGCTATACAGAAGAGGTATGTCCTCCTCCATTCAGAAAGCTTACACTGGTAAGCTCCTTTCAGATGTACCTGCTCAGGCCATCATAGTATAGATTCTGTTTGAAACGGTTGAATTCTGCCAAGCACTACCTATATAGGTAGGATACACAGTGTTAATATACACTCAGAAGAGTTAAAGGAGATAACCAATAAAGTATTCTTTTCTATGAAAAAGGATTACTATCAAAATCTGCATTTTTCACAAAATATTTATGACTTGATTAAGCTTGTAAAAAGATTTGTTAAAATTGACTTTCCTAGACCGTGACTATTTTCAGGTTATAAAGAAATAGTGCTTAAAGTGGTGGGGGGGAATAAGTGAAGGAATTTTGATATAATTGAATGGTAGCATTTTCTTGAAGATTATCTAAATATGAGTAGAAATAAGACCGGAAGGCAAGCCACCTGATTAAAAGAACATGAGCAAAGCATGTGTTAAGAGTAAGTGAGAGGGGCGCCTGGGTGGCTCAGTGGGTTAAAGCCTCTGCCTTTGGCTCAGGTCATGATCCCAGGGTCCTGGGATAGAGTCCCATGTAGGGCTCTCTGCTCAGCCAGGGAGCCTGCTTCTCTGTTTCTCTCTGCCTGCCTCTCTGCCTACTTGTGATCTCTGTCAAATAAATAATAAAATCTTAAAAAAAAAAAAAGTAAATGAGATACTTAAAATGCAATAAATACAAGACCTTACTGTTGTTATGTGTGCGATTTGGCAGATATGTGGACAATTCTGAAAATGTGTTTGGAAATAAAAAGTGAATCTAGGTGATTTAAAGTCATGTTTACAGAGGTTCCTTGTATGTTGGTGTTGAGGGTAATGGCCTGAAGAAAAAAACCAAGGTTTAACATTGTCCTACTGAATGTGGGTGATTGCAAAGTAACAGAAGTCAAATATAGCTACAAAATTATAAAAGAAATTAAGGTTAAAGTTAATGATTTAGAATGAGAATAAACAATCTAAACTTGTCTACCATATGGAAAACTGGAGTTAATATAATTTACTATACCAGGGAAAGACTTGCAGCAGTCTTTCTTTAAACCTGAAAAAATAAGTCTGCAAAGAGGAATAGTTATAATTGATGATCATGAGATTTTTGTTATTAAACCATCCTGAAAGGATAATAGCAATGTGAATATGCCAGTAAATATACCCCTAGTCAGTTTTATAGTTCCTATTGGAAGTATTTTCTCAGCTCTTCTAAGAGAAAATGATTCCCAGCTATATGGAGGATAAGAGCCTAGGCTATAAGATTGTCCTTCTAGGGGCACCTGGATGGCTGGTTGAGAGTCTGACTCTTGATTTTGGCTCAGGTTATGATCTCAAGGTCCTGAGATCAAACCCTGCATTAGACTTTGTACTCACTGAGAGTGCAAAAGTTACTAATGTACATTGCTTAATTTTTTATTTTTTTCCACACCGAGGCAGAGTTTTTATTTAGGTTTTGTGTCTTTTTCCAAAAGTAATTTGTCATGGGGTCTTTCTTTTTTTTTTTTTTTTTTTTTTTTTAAGATTTTATTTATTTATTTGACAGAGAGAGATCACAAGTAGGCAGAGAGGCAGGCAGAGAGAGAGGAGGAAGCAGGCTCCCTGCTGAGCAGAGAGCCCGATGCGGGACTCGATCCCAGGACCCTGAGATCATGACCTGAGCCGAAGGCAGCGGCTTAACCCACTGAGCCACCCAGGCGCCCTGTCATGGGGTCTTTCTTGATCTCATATGCTAGATCTTTCCATAACAAAAATGTGAAGATTTGCAAATTATTATTAATTATTTTCTTTTGTAGAAGAAAATTGGAAAGAGGAAGACTTTTTAGTGAAATTCAAGGAACACCAAGATAAGTTTTCTAGATCAGTTGTATTCATCAACCACAAAAAACTGATTAAGGAAAACAGTAATGCATATGAAAAGACATTTACTTTAAGCAAAAACCCTATTAATTCAAAAAATCTACCTCCTGAATATGATACTCATGGAAAAATTTTTAAAAATGTTTCAGAATTAATCATCAGTAATCTAAGTCCTGCAAGAAAAAGACTTAGTGAGTATCATGGATATGGGAAATCACTCCTTAATACTAAAGCAGAGACAGCTCAACCTGGAGTCAAATCCCATAATCAACGTGGCAGGGCTGTTAGTCATAACGAAGTACTTATGCAGTACCATAAGGTGGAAACTCCGGCACAGTCATTTGGATATAATGACTATGAGAAAGCCTTCCTTAAAAAGGGAGGATTAATTACACATAATAGAGCTTACAGAAGGGAAAACCCATCTGAATATAATAAAAGGAGAAGAGCAACCAATATTGAAAAAAAACATACATGCACTGAATGTGGGAAGTCCTTCTGCAGGAAGTCAGTATTGATTCTGCATCAGGGAATTCACACAGAGGAAAAACCCTATCAGTGTCATCAATGTGGAAATTCATTTAGAAGGAAGTCTTATCTCATTGACCATCAGAGAACTCACACAGGAGAAAAACCCTTTGTTTGTAACGAATGTGGAAAGTCTTTTCGCCTAAAGACAGCCCTCACTGATCATCAGAGAACACATACAGGGGAGAAGTCATATGAATGTCCACAGTGTAGGAATGCCTTCAGATTGAAGTCACACCTCATTCGTCATCAGAGAACTCATACGGGAGAGAAACCGTATGAGTGTAATGACTGTGGGAAGTCCTTCCGCCAGAAGACAACACTCTCTTTACATCAGAGAATTCATACAGGAGAGAAACCCTATATTTGTAAAGAATGTGGGAAGTCCTTTCATCAGAAGGCAAACCTTACTGTACATCAGAGGACTCACACAGGGGAAAAGCCCTATATATGTAATGAATGTGGAAAATCTTTCTCCCAGAAGACAACCCTCGCTCTTCATGAGAAGACTCATAATGAGGAGAAACCCTACATTTGTAATGAGTGTGGGAAGTCCTTCCGCCAGAAGACAACCCTTGTGGCACATCAGAGAACACATACAGGGGAAAAATCCTATGAATGTCCTCACTGTGGGAAGGCCTTTAGAATGAAGTCATACCTCATTGATCATCACAGAACTCACACTGGAGAGAAACCATATGAATGTAATGAATGTGGGAAGTCCTTCAGTCAGAAGACAAATCTAAATCTACATCAGAGAATTCATACAGGGGAGAAACCCTATATTTGTAATGAATGTGGGAAGTCCTTTCGCCAGAAAGCAACTCTGACTGTACATCAGAAAATACATACAGGACAGAAATCTTACGAATGCCCTCAGTGTGGGAAAGCCTTTAGCAGGAAGTCATATCTCATTCACCATCAAAGAACTCATACAGGAGAGAAACCATATAAATGTAATGAATGTGGGAAGTGCTTCCGCCAGAAGACAAATCTCATTGTACATCAGAGAACTCACACAGGGGAAAAACCCTATATTTGTAATGAGTGTGGTAAGTCCTTCAGTTATAAGAGAAACCTCATTGTGCATCAGAGAACTCACAAGGGAGAAAACATAGAAATGCAATAAATGATGTGACTTCTTTGTAAAGCCTTCCCAAGTTATTGTAAAACCTTAGTTTAAAAAACAGCATGCTAAAACATTTTAAAAAGGTAATTTTAATCACAAATGTAATAATAGTTAAAGTACCAACTACATAACTACTGTTTACTAGCATATATAATGGGTATGATCATTTGTTATTAAATTCTATCAGAAATGAAGCTAAATTTTAAGTTTTCAAGTTCTGTTGACTCAGTTTGTTTTTTTAAAAAGTACTTACATAATACATGAAGACCAAGATACAAAATGGTCATAATGTCAGTTTCTATAAAAGAAGGAAAATATGAAATATATTTCTCCTTATGCTCTGGAATAAAAAACAGTTGTTACTTCCCCAAAGATTACCATGTATCTGGCTTAAAATGTCATGAAGTAGTCTTTGCATGTCTTTAAACTTTATGTATTTTTTTATCATGTATCATGAATTTTTTTGTGTCTTGTTTCACTCAACATTTTTAAGATTCATACATTATTGCATGTGGCAGTAATGTGTTCATTTTCATTCTGTTTACTCTTCCATCTTACAATATACCACTATTTATCCTTTTGATGGATATTTGTATTTTTTTATAATTTTGTGTTGTAATAAAAATGCTGCTTAAATGCTATAAATGTTCATTTGTGTGTATATTTCTGTTAATCTTATATTAAGATGAATTACTCAGACCAAGGGTGTATGCAAGTTTTTTCAGCTATGGTAGATAACTGCCAAATATCTCAGATCTTTCTTACTATGAGATGATTCACTTGGAGAGTAACAGCTCTTGATTGTAAGCAATGTGGAAAAGGTCTTTAGCAGCCATCCAACTAGAGAATTATTTTTAAAAATCCATATAATGTTGTAATTGTAAGAAGACTATTAATCATGAATATATGAGTGTAACAAATTTAAAAAGATTATTTAGCTGTGGCTTACATACAACCAGAGAATTCGTATTGGAGGGAATCCTATAGTTATCATTATTATAGGGATACTTTTAGCCATAACTTAACACCTTATTCAACATCAAAGAATTCATACCAGAGAAAGGGAAGTTAAGAAGTGACATAGATGAGTAAAATTTGGGAGAATAAGTCACATAGACAGAACTATGAAATAGATAATATAAGTAAGCCTTTATACCTCGATCTCAGGAAATGCGGGTATCTGAAATTCTCAAAAATTACTGGAGGGACGCCTGAGTGGCTCAGTTGGTTAAGCATCTGCCTTTGGCTCAGGTCATGATCCCAAGGTCTTAGGATGGAGCCCCGAATTGGGTTCCCTGCTCAGCAGGGAGCCTGCTTCTCCCTCTTCTCCCCACTTGTGGTCTCTGTTGCTCTTGCTCCCTCTCTCTCTCTCAAATAAATAAAATCTTTTTTTAAAAAATCACTGGAGGGATTGTGATGTTTGAGAATTGGAAGTCTGCTAAAACAGTAACATCTATAGCATCCTTTCTGTGAAAATAATAAATTCAACAGCACCTTGAACAGTGTTACTGAAGGCCCCTGATTATAACATATTTATTGTATACATTGTTACTGTGTATAATAAAATGCAGTGGAAATCTAAATAAGCTTCCCCTGTCCCCCAGTTGAGGCTGTCTACAGGAAGTTGCCAGTGGATAATAAATGGAAACATGCTGGTTCAAGGCTTGCGGATAATTTGAGAGGAAAAAAAAGTGGGTAATAAGGAAAATCAGACATGATACAAATTCAGACTTGAAAGGATCATAGAAAATATAATGCCTTGTCTGGCCAGACAGAACACTGTGGAATTTAGCCTTTCCTAGTAGCTATTTATACTTGGAGGGATTTGGGATTTTTTAAGGTTTTGGGTTTTTTTGTTTTGTTTTGTTTTAGTGTGGGCAGTTTGAACATACTAGAATAAAAAGGTAAGTAATAGCTATATTCATAAATATGAGAATCTAATAATTGTTTCATTTGAATAAATCTATATTTGCATGTGAATACTGTTATATGCTAACAATTAAGGATATAAGCCTATCCTTTTTCTTGGGTATGTAGTGAGTGGGGAGGTACGGTATAACTGAATCTGTTCTAGCCTCAACCGACCAAAGATGTTGGGAATGTGTGAGTCACTTTCTCTTGGATATTCTACTCTCATTTGTTTCTTTTCTGCTATGCATTTCTGTGGCTGTCATAAAAATAGAAATTATCTAGCATTCCTACATGTGCTATCCTGCCTCTTGAAATAGCCATGTTTTGTTTGTCCTGAAATAGCCATGTTTTGTTTGCAGTAGAGCATTATATGCATATACTTATTTTCTTGCTATACATGGTACATAATATTCATGTTTTAATAGGTCTTGTGTATGAGGTACTAGAAAATCTTGTGTACTAATGGACAGTGTTTTGAACTCAGAGATGACTAGGCTGCTTTCCTACCTAAGAGAATTTCCAGTATAGGAAGTTATATAAACAAGTCAAAAGTATTTGTATAGTAACCATTGGGAATCTCTACATATTTACGCTTTTAGCTATTTCCCAAGATCTCCCCCAATTTCTACTCTCCTATCATTGTTACTATACCCATCAAAATATGTATCACTAATAGAAGGGGATGGAATGGAGTGTTATTAGAAGAGAGAAACACATTACTACTATATTCATTGTCATGGAAACTTTAAAAACAGGTAGGCCAGTCCCAGACTCCTTTGGCATCCTAAAACAAACAGCAAATATCCTAAAACTATATTTCACATTTTGCATTTCCCTTACTCCTAATCCTATAGTAAGCCCTCTTCATGCAAATCCCTAGGATGTAAATATCTTGAGTTGGCTAAGGAGGGAAGGAGCAAAAAAGATACTATGCAAATGTTTGGTCATAAAAAGTTATCCTACTTGAAATGCCCTTGCAAAAATTTAAAGAAGTGGCAGATGCCAAGTTTTCTGTATGATTTTTCTCTTTTTAAATTTAGAATTTTTAACTTTTCCATTTAAAATCAAGTCCATTCAATTTAATTTTATAAGTATGCCACTTTATAAATATGCAATTTCTTGGTGTTTTAACCAAATTTGTGATTTTTATGGTAGCTCCAGGACATTAACATATTTTGGTACCAGGAAATGGAGCTCTGCTAAAACAAACACCTAAAAATGTGGAAGTGAATTTCGGCAATGGGTAGAGGCTGGAAGAATTTTAAGCCACATAATTTAAAAAGCCTCTATTGCCTTAAATAGACTGTTAGGCTTAGGGATGGTAAGGTATAAGCTCAGGAAGAAAAGAGCAAGACTGAGAAAGCTATTTTCTTAACGGATACATACATCCTCATGAGTAGAATGTTACTACTATTAACATGTAATAGTGTTTCTATTGAGGGCTCAAAAGAAAATGAGGAAACTATTTCTGGAAACTGGTGGAAAGATGATTCGTATTATATAGTAAAAAACTTGGCTGAATTGTGTTTTATAGTTGTGTGAAAAGCAAATTTGGAAGTGATAAATTTGACTACTTGGCTGAGAAAATTTCCAAGGAAAATGTTGAAGGTTGGGCCTGGTGTATTCTTGCTGCTTATAGTAGAATGTGAAAGAAAAGAGAACTAGAGAAAGGAACTAGTATGCAGAAAGGAAACGAAGTCTGATTATTTAGGGGAATTCTCAGCCTATCCAAACTGCAAAGGATGCCAAAATTAGGAGATTAACTGGAGAAAGCTCTGGAGAGATGGCGTGCCTGGACAACTTTTTTTGTTTTTTTTTTTAAGATTTTATTTATTTATTTATTTATTTATTTATTTATTTATTTATTTATTTATTTGATGGAGCGAGCAAGCAAGGGAGACAGCAAGCACAAGCAGCGGGGGTGGCAGGCAGGGGAGAAGCAGGCTCCCTGCTGAGCAAGGAGCCTGATGTGGAGGCTCGATCCCAGAACCCTGGGATCATGACCTGAGCGGAGGGCAGCTGCTTAACTGACTGAGCCACCCAGGCACCCCTGGACAACTTTAGCAGAAGAGATTAGGTATGTGACTCATGGATCCAATCAACCATTTCAGAAATGAATAGAGATGGTTTCCCAACAGTGATGTTTTGGAGGTTTTTTTGGTTGGTTGGTTGGTTGGTTGGTTGGTTAGTTGGTTTTCTTGAGTGTGGGCAGTTTGTCCTGCCTCCTAATTGTGTGGACTCCTTTGACAAATAAAGAAGACCCACAACCCACAAGGTCTTTCCAAATTTTGTATCAGCAGAAACACTGCTAGCTTGGACTGACAAAAACAGAGACAGGATGAAATAACAAGGCTGTCAGGTTTCCAAAATTCTACAGGCAGGAAATGGACTGATAGAGACACTCAACTATAAACATGCATTACCCTTCAAGAAAAAAGGAAGACTGACCTTGGAGCCATGGACTTTGAGGGCAGAGACCCAACCTGGAGGGTAGAGTCTCAGAACACAAGGGATTACTGTCAGGCCTTGAAAACTAATGGAATTTGCCCTGCTGGGTTTTGAACTTTCTTGGAACCATTGATTTTCTTATATGTTTATTGACCATCCATATAATTACTTTGGTGGAATGTCTGTTTATATCTTTTGTCTGTTTTCTAATTGGGTTATGTGTGTGTTGGGGGGGCTTGCTGTTAAATATTGAGAGTTCTTTATATATATTAGATATCAGTCCTTAGCAAGATATGTGATTTGCAGGGATTTTCCTCTAGTCCGTAGGTTGTCTTTCCATCCTCTTTTTTTTTTTTTTTTTAAAGATTTTATTTATTTATTTGACAGAGAGAGATCACAGTAGGCAGAGAGGCAGGCAGAGAGAGAGGAAGGGAAGCAGGCTTCCTGCTGAGCAGAGAGCCCGATGCGGGGCTCGATCCCAGGACCCTGGGATCATGACCTGAGCCGAAGGCAGAGGCTTTAACCCACTGAGCCACCCAGGCGCCCCTCTTTCCATCCTCTTAACAAAGCCTTTCGCAGACCAAGATTTTAATTTTGATGAGATCTAATTTATCAGATTTCTCTTTTATGAATCATGCTTTTGGTATCAACTCTTAGATCGCTTTACCTAGCTCTAAATCCCCCAAATTGTTCCTTTGTTTTTTCCCGCAGGTTTTAGGGTTTTATGTTACAGATTTTGAGTTGTTATATTATTGTATCAAATATTATATGATTGAGATATTACTATTGAGTTATAATGTATAATACTGGGGCGCCTGGGTGGCTCAGTGGGTTAAAGCCTCTGCCTTTGGCTCAGGTCATGATCCCAGGGTCCTGGGATCAAGCCCCACATCAGGCTCTGTGCTCAGCAGGAAGCCTGCTTCCCTTCCTCTCTCTCTGCCTGCCTCTCTGCCTACTTGTGATCTCTGTCAAATAAATAAATAAAATCTTTTAAAAAAAAAATAATAATAATGTATAATACTGAGGTAGAGGATTTTTTGTTTTTGTTTGCCTGTAGTGTCCAATTGCTCTGGCACTATTTGTTGAAAAAGTGGTCTTTCCTTCACTGAATTTGTTTTATACCTCCGAAATCAGTTGGGCATGTTTATGTGAATCTAGTTCTGGCTCTTTGTTTTGTCTCATTGATCCAAGGGCCAGTTTCTGCTAATACCACGCTGCTTTTATTATTGTATACTGTAAATCTTGATATTGGGTTGAGTGATTCCTCCCACTTTGTTATTCTTTCTCAAA